AAGTAGACTTCATCCAAAGACGGTGGAAGTATTAATGTGTGCTTAAAATTGATTGTGGATAACTGAAAATAAAAGGAATGTACTAAAACTCTACATATGAATTTGATTTTTTTTTTATTAATTTCTTAAAAATTTTATATATCTTATTTATGTTTATTATATTTGTTTCTAGGTGGAACTCCATTTGTTTCGGATGGTTATTGTACTATGTATGATGAGTATGTAGAAGAAGATGAAGGTATAAAATAATATGTCAAAATTTAAATAACAACATTAAAAAATTTTATGATGACTAATTCACTTTTAATTTTAATGAATGTAGGATTTGCGGTAATCGACGATTACGTTAAACTCTAATATAATGAGTGAGTCTTGATGATCTTTGAGTAGTAACATGCAAAGATTTATTTCTTTAATTGTATTTTTTATATTTTATCAATTTAATTAAGTATGTTATTTATTCAATTGAAAATGATTTAATATATTATGAATTGTATTGTAATTTTGTAGTTGGATAAGCTAAATAATTACATTGAACTCCATTTCCTTTTTATTTTTAACTAGTACTTCCTTATATTGTATGCTATTGTTAGTTCTAATGTCATGTTATTTTTTATTGGATTTATGTTACAATAATTCTACTTGCGAGTGGTTAACCTTGTCTTATGTTTGTCTTTAGAGTACTTTTACTAATATTGTAATTTTCAAAGGTAAAAGGTTGTATCAAAATGTCTAATGATACCGTATTTGCATGTTACGATCTAAATTTTATATCAAGTGGTTTTTCCATCACAAATCCCTACCAAACATATGCAAATTGTGTGTGCTCACTACAAAATTTATCAAAATGGGGCTTTCAAAACGAGGCAGGGCAAGACTACACAAACGAGTTAAACGGGGCCCTGTTTGCTTCGCGAGGATCCCCGTCCCCGATTGGAGTGAGGATGGGATGGAAAATTCCGCCCGTTCGGGGCACGAGGCGAAGATGGGCAATTTTTTTTAGGGGCGGGATGAGAATGGGGAGGGTGATCCCCATCTCACCCCGCCCTATTAACATCCCTAGTGTAAGCTAAGGAACTAAGGTTTCATCAATGATCTAAGCAATTACTATGACATTACCACTTAATTAGAGAAATTATCAGTCATGGTGATATAAGGATAAAAAAGATCCATACCGATGATAATCTAGCTGACCCCTTGACTAAGCCTTTGTCACAATAGAAATATGAGACCCTTGTTCGATCGTCGAGCATAAGGGACATGGCTGGTTGGCTCGGTGTAAGTGGGGAATTGTTATTGTTGGTGCCTAAGATCTAACCTTGTTTAGATTGTTTGATTTATTGTAATGTTACATTTTTATATATTAATAAATATTAATAAAAGAAGTCTTTTTATAAATTCTTATTGTTTACAATTTGATAGAATTAGATAGAAGTCTATATGATATACATTGCATTAATGATTGATCAATTATTGTGAGATAAACATTGATCCATTTAAATGATATCGTTAAATGTCCCAAGTTGTAGCATTGTTAAGAATAAACATTGACTATATGTGGTAAGACTTGTGAGTGCTATACTCATGCTATAAAATAGTAGTATGATGATGCCAAAGCAAGCACTTTGGTGATTAATGTTAGAGAATATATCACTAGACATGACTCGTCACGAGAACCCACTTGGTTTAGTCAATAGGAGTCTCACACGAGATGGGTACGACTAGTCCTTTGAATTGAAGTCATCATAGTTATCTCATTGGAGGATTGATGTACTTTGATAGTTGTTTTGATGGACTAAGTCAAGAACTACATATGAGCGATTCATTGGATGCATTAGGAATTTAATAGAGATAGGTGGATGACTAAGATAGGACATGTTATTTCTTATATTCCAAAGGAGTTATTACATTATACGTTGATAAATGTTTCTCAATTAGTTTTAAGGATAATTTGGGAAATGGTTTCCTATTGTGGGCCTCTTAAAAAATCTGACCCAATTGATTTAGATAGTCCAAATTAATTGATAATTAATTAGGCCAAAAGAATTTAGGCCAATAGCTTTAATTTAAAAACCCGTAAGATATTTTGGTAGAAGGATAAACTTGAGCCCTATTGGATAAGGCTCGAGTTTTATAAGGATAATGTTAGAAAAAGCCCATATAGGCAACATCTCCTTGACCTAAAAGGAGAGAGAGGGTGCAAAAAGAGGAAGAAAAAGAAAAAAAACATGGCATAAGAAAAATAAAAGAAGAGAAAAATGTTTTCTCCCAAAAACCATAGTTACTCGCCCTTTCTTTAAAAGCCAATAGTTGGCACAAAAAACCCCGAATTGATTTTTATAGAAAAATTAACTATACGAAGGATTAGAGCTAGCACTCTATGATTTTTACAGACTTCTCTTGTTGACGTTTGAGCTATATGGATTATCGGTAGAGGCTAAACACTTGGACGATTCCTTTCTACAAAGGTTAATTCTATCCTACAAGAGGTAAATGCTTGCTTTAATTATTTATTCATGTATGTATGATTGATTAATTCAATGACATGATTTTAAAAGTCATAGAGGGAGGATAATTTTTGTTTTATTATGCACTTCTATAGGATGTATGATCCTTCAAGCTCTTTCTTTAAAGGCATTAGAACTACCTTCTCTCCTTTTGAATTCAAATGAGTAAGAATTTGTAAATCCATCATGCACTACTCATAGATCATATTACGATGGTCCTTTTAACAAAATATGGCACAAATCTATTAGAATCAAGTCACACCACTTTTTGTCTTGATAACTTTGGCCTCCTAAAAATTATACAAGATACCTTTTAAACATCTTTATGTCATTGGATTTTTTTAACCAAGCTATCTTGTATAGATTAGGATGACCGACTATGGATAATTTGAGTTTTTTAACCATCATTGAAGATACAATATTTTTACTACTCTCTTCGTCAATGATCAAGTGACACATTTTGCCATACGATGTACATTGCATTCGAAAGATATTGAGTCTAAGCTAATCCTCTTCCTTCACCCTTTAGGCATTGAGTGTCCTACAGATTACTAATAGCTCACCATCATTTACATAGATATCCCCTTCAATTGCATCCTCAATTTCATTCTTAACTAAATCCTCTACCCCTATCACTTAAAGATTTATCCTCATTGGCTTTTATGACAAAAATAATCACTCTTTCATTTGGAAATTGAAAATAATGTGTCTAAAGTGATGAAATTTGAAGCACTTTGTAAAATTAGTTAGAATTTGAACTCGAAGATTTTTGTTGAAACCTTTCTTTGCTCCATCTCCTCTACTTTGTCGTGGCCATCCTTAAGTTGGTTTTATAACCCTAACTAAAGTATTGGGGCTAGAATGAGTCCTTCTAGCTAAGATCCTCCTATCACCACTCCATCTAGATGTCTTGTGATTCTTTTTAACTTTTAAGGATAGCTAAATGGCATCATATAAAGTATGGTATTATTATAATTGAACCACCTCCACAATGCAAGTCGTAATCCTTTTAAGAATCATGCAACGAGTAAGGTCTTCTCGTTAAAAAATTTCACACTTTAACATTGGTTATTTAAATTTAATAGCATATGCTTCAACACTCATAGCTTTTTGTTTAAAATTATAAAATTTGAGATAAGATCTTGCTTATAGAAGTCGAAAGATACTTATGATTGAGATTTTTCTTCACCTTATCTTATATAGTTATTTTCAACTTGTCTTTTCGGATTTGATATCTCTTTAAGTTCTCCCACCACATTGAAGCAATCTTTGTTAGTTTAATAGTAATAAACTTAACCTTATTGTCTTCAAGAACCTCTTTAAAATCAAATACCCTCTCAACGGTATTGCATCCAATCAATGAAATTGTTAGGAGTCTTCCTTTAAAGTCGGGTATGTCAACTTTGACTCTAAAGTCTTGGCATTCAGCTTATGGCCTCCTAACCGGTCAACCTAGCTTTTAGATAGAATTTTCATTATTTATGGATGAATTGGTTCTTAAAGTTTAAAAAGGATTTGCACTTTAACATCCTCCTCTTGATCTTTTGTTTCATTGTCGTCCGTTTTTTATTCTTTTTTTGTATTCTTGCAACATCTCAAGTAAATAGGCCTTTTCCTCTTGTAGTTCAAGCAATGATAATGCAACATAGCTTCTATATTTTGGGTGGTATCTTCATAAAATTGGTTTAAAAACATGCAAGGAAGCAACCTTAGCCCTAATGTCAAGTTGACACTCGTTTTTGTGAGGAATTGAAACAAACTCTATGCTCCTAAGTTTATTTTTGTTGCTACTGAATTGAACCTTAAATGACTAAGGGATCCATGACCTTCTTCTTGAAATTAATGGATGAATGAAAGTTCCAACCTAGAGTTGTATAGGTCGAAACTAAGGAATAGATGGAAAACCATAGTTTTGATTGATTTTGACAAAGTTTTTGACAAACTCCACAACAATCTTGCTAAGTGATGTAAACTTAGATGTTTTTTACGAGTTGAGAAATCCCACTACACCCTTTGGTTAGTTGATTGATTGAATGCACAAGGATTCAAGTATTTAGAGACACTTCTCAAGAATTTATTAAACATCAAAACATGGTTCTCTACAAGAATTAATTCTCCTTGTAAAATTTGGCCACCTTTAGATAAGATAAGATTAAAAAAAAAAAAAAAAAAAAAAAAAAAAAAAAAAAACCTTGTCAACATGGACTACAAAACACCATTCTCCCTTTTCTTTCATGACTCTTACTTCTAATCTAAATCAAATATAGAATCTAAAACTATTTAAACTCATTGTTATATTCAAATCCTAATTTAGATTAATTAACCTAAAAAAGATTAAGGTAACCTAAAAGGTAAATACAAACCCAAAAGGCAATGTAAAACCCTTCATCAAATTCGGCCCATGTAGAAAACAAACCTCTTGATGCTTGATGCATTTGTGTGTGAATTTTGGGCCTACGTAAATTTCTTGAATTAACAACACTCCATGTCAAAATGTCCAAGTGTTATGAATTAGGTAAATTCAAGTTAGAAATATTTCACCAATAACACTTACTATCAAAGAGGATAGAAAAGAAGAGGTTTTTCTTTTCCTTTTCTTTTTTTTTTTTAAAAACATAAATTCACGGTAAAAATCAACTTTGGATAAAAAAAATTACAGCATTAAGCATAGAGAAAAGAAGACGGTATGATTAAGCCGCGAAAATTCCAAAATACACAGCCATCTTTGATTTAAAATCGATCACTTCAACGCAAAACATTGTAGCCTCCAGTTGTGAGAAAACTTCAACACCTCGTATTCTACAACAAACAGCCAATGCAAATCTGTCTTTAGTTTATTAATCTTTTATTTTACTCTTCATTTTCCGTTCTACTTTCCTTTGAATTCATTTCACTGCAATTACCGGTACTTCTGATCTCTTAATTTCAGTCGAAATCTTTTCTATTTTTTGGTTTTTGTTTCGAAATAATATTGAAGTAGATAAGAGTTTTATGATTTATATATAAATGTAAATTCTCTTATATGTACATGTCGTGATGCATGCCATGGGATCGATTTGTTAGGCATCATTTTACCTTTTGTTTTCCTACTGTTAGATTCTTGATATGTGCATAAAAATTAGTTTCTGAATTGATTACAAATCGTTTAAACTACATAGTAACACATATCAGGTCTTTTTGTCGTTAATTTCATTCTTTGAACAACCAAGCAGATAACATGCTTATAACTATCAGTTCTAATATTTGTTGCAGATTATTGGCTCTTGGTTGCAACGGTTGAGATTAGTCTTTTGGGAGATATATATATTATGGGTGAGATTGACACAAAACCTATTGAACCAGTCCAAGTTGCGCTTACTTTGTTCGGAGAGAAAGGTGATCCCGGGAAAAACCTGTCTAGTGGCGGCAGTGGTGATGTAAGATATCTTTATACGTAACATATTGTAACTCAATATTCCTTTTCATTTCTACTCGCCATGTTTCAGACTCAATTTTTTTGAAAAATATTGTTAATGTAATAAAGATTATGTGCTATTACAGTCACAAGCCAACTCCCTAGGTCGTAATAGCCTTTAATTATTTCTGTGTCCTGCTGTCATTCATCACACACACACACACACACACACATATATATGTTGCTGTGCTCCAAGCTTTTGCTTCTGCAGATTTTGTATAGATTGCTGTTCAGTATCTTACAAAATATGGAATATGACTCCTTGGCTATTTTGTTGTTTCCTCTGGATTTTTTTAATGGGTAGGAGGTGGAGAAAGAGAAGGATGTTGAAACGCTGCTAAAACATTTGGCCAATTACAAGGTGCAAATGGAAGCAAAGGATTTCGCCTTCGCGCAGGTACTACATACGCTAGAGCACTATCAGAAAACAACTGAGGAGCTCTCGGCACTGTTGAAGAATTCTGAGGTTGAGAGAGACGGATACAGAGAAGATTGTAGAGAAGCAAGGACTCGGATAAATGAACTTGAGGCCAAGGTCAAGGAGATGGCTGATAAACTGTTAGAAACTGGAAAAATACGGGAAAAGCTTTCTCATGTTTTGAGTGAATTAAGGGCCACACAGGAAGAGATAATTAGCATGGAAACACAACTTGCTACTGCAAGAGAAGTGAATCTCAAGGCAATGAAAGAAGCGGAACTGATGGAAACTGCAGCAAACATGGAAAAGGAAAGAGCTGAAAAACTGGCAAATCATGTTGCTGAGCTTAATGAAGTTATTCTTGTGTCAAAGCTTGCTGCCATTGAAGCTGAAAAAGAGAAGTGCATGGTTTTATCTGAGAAAGATGCACGGTTAGAGTCAGCAATGGAAAAGGCTGAGCAAGCACAAGAGCAGGAGGAAAACATGAAAAAACGATTGGAAATGATGCAAGAATTGGAAAATCAGCTACTAGCCAAATCTGAAGTTGTTGATTCGCTACAGGGAGAACTCAATCAAGCATTTGAACTACTTAGTTCATCTAATAAAGCTGTTTCTGATGCTGTGCATGATTTGAATCAGCTAGAAGCGGATTTGAAAGTCAAGGAAGGAGAGAATTCTGATCAAGCATTTTATATTGGGGCATTGGAAACTGAATTGAATCAGTTAAAAATAGAACTAAAGAATGCAAACGAAGAGGCAAGCCATTTGAATTGTAACGTGGAAATCCTCACGGATGAGTTGCAGAAAGTAAAGATTAAAATGGATGGAATTAAAGAAAGAGAGAAAGACGCACAGGTTGAGATTTCGTTGCTGAAATCTGAGATTGAAAGAGGAAGGTCTGAATTTGCAGCAGCGGAAGCAAGGCCTGGGAGTGTAAAATCAGGATTTTGTCTTGCCGTTCAGCAGCTAGCAGTCGAAGCTGAAGAAGCCAAAAAGGAAAATCAAAGGTTAAAAGGAGGAGTGGATAAGGTAACAGAGGAATCAGAAGACTTTGGGCTCATGGACACTGATCAACATGAAAAGTACTCTTGTCAAGCCGTAGAAACTTTTAAGAATAACGAGTCTAATGCAGAATCCGTGAGGAGAAGAAATGAGAATGAAGGCAATATAACCATTTCACTTGAAGAATATGAGTCCTTGATCAGTAAAGCTGAGAAGGCCAATGAATTTCCAGGAAGAGAATCTTCTAATATGTCCATCACATCTGAAAATAAGTGCGAATTAGAAGTTCTGAAGAAAGAGTTAGAGAGTGCAATTGTGAAAATAGGGGAGTTGAGGACAAGGGCAGAACAGGCTGTCACTAGGGCCGAAGCCGCTGAAAAAGCTAAAACAACACTCGAAGATCAACTAAAAAGGCGTCGAGAACAAAAGCAGAGAATAAAGGCAGCTATAGTGGGGCTTCGCGAGGAATCTACATCAAGAGGGTTCAGTTCTTCGACATATGCAATCGCACCAAGAGAATATCAGACACTGGGTAAGGTTCTCAACATGAAATTCTAGTCTCGTTAAGACATTTTGTGCAAGTAAAACTTAGCATGTATCGTTGAACATTAAAAACTGTTTCCAGATTGTACTGAGTGAGCGATCCCCTTAGATATTTTGTATTGCTGTTAAGACAATCTCAAAATAGCAGCAACTGTTGTTATTTTAACGGTACTTTGTTTCATTCATGAATATTGTAATACATTCCTAAAAGCAAGCCCCTATATTAAAATATTTAGGAAGAGTGATTGCCTCAATAGGAGGTCAATCTCTACACTTATTAACATAATACAATTAAGGTGTTAATTACAATTTCTGATAATACAATAGTTGCTATGCATATTAACATTATGTCTATCACCCCCTCTCCCTATCTGAGCGTGAGAGGAAGGAATGCTCAAATGGCTCATGAGCGTACAAATTGAGAAGAAGAGAGTCCCATGGTAATAACATCGGCCACCTGATCATTACTGGGAACAAATTTCACTGCCATATCTCTCAAAGCAACTCGTTATCGGACAAAATGAAAGTCAATCTCTAAATGTTTAGTGCAAGCATGGTTGATGGGATTAGCAGCAAGGTACGTTATATAAATATTATCATAAAAGACTTCATTGGGGAGCTTTGGATGAACAAACAACTCATGAAGCAGGAAAGAAGTCAACATAATCCAACAATAGCAGTGACACAGGAGGGTTTCCTCTCTACAATGGCTGGATGTTTTTAAGCCCATTAGCCGAAACATTTGGCCTTTTATCTCTTTATTTTCATATTATGCATTAATTATACTTTATTTTGGATTGAACAGTTATTTGTTTTGAGTTATTTTATTATATGGACTTGGGCTAATTAAATAGTTCTCATAGTTAAATTTCTTATTTGGCCGACTGTATAGCTTAGGAATATTTGGATTTGGATACTTTTTTTTTATTAATAATCATTAAATTATGTGAATTTTTATTTAATATGGACACTCAATTTGGATTCTTATTTTATTAAGAATCATTAAATTATATGAATTTTTATTTAATATGGACACTATAAGTTAAAGTTCTTATTAAATGATCATGCACAAAGGTCTATTTAGCTCGAGAGCTATTTTCTTCTTTTCCGCTTTAGTGTTTCAGCCAAGGTTAACTTTTGTACGCAGTTGGACAAGTTCTACTAACCATAACCGAAACTACCTATTAGTATCTAAGCAAACTTTTTGTTTCTTTTGCAAAAAGTTTTGTTGAATAAATTTGAATAAAATTAACAAGAATTTTCTGTACTTTTTACGTTTGCTTGGACTAGAGAGTGACAATTATAACCTTAGTGTGATCAACTAGATCATCTAAAGTGAGCTCCCGATCATTGCATTCAAACTTCTTATAATGGTGTTATTTGTATCGATAAACTACTTGACGTATGTATCTCGTAAGTTCTACTACTACTACTACTACTATTATTATTTGTGGTGGATTCTATCAACAAGAAAGATTATTGGACTTGCATTATTTTATTTTATTTATTGTTTGGTTAAGTTTGAAAATCGAGATTAATTTAGAGCTTGATAGTTTCAACCTTGAGAGCTTTTATAGCTTGGGTTGTCTCGGTTGAGTTAAAATTGTCATTTATATTATTTAAGCCATACTATATCATATTTAAAAATTCAAAAAAAAAAAATCTAAAAGGGAGGCATAATTTTGGTATCATCATTGCTTTTGGAAATTATAATTTTTTATGGTATCATATCCTTCTTAGCATTGTTGGGTAACTTGAGTTGATTATTACTTGAGGTGTGTTGATTGTTTATAAGGTAGTTCTTGCTTGTGGTTTGTTTATTTGAGCTTTCGTAGAGTTTAGGACGTCTTCTCAATCTAGCATCCATTTGCAAAGACATAGTATTCGGACTTAGTGTTACCGTGAGAAATCGTAAGTTGCTTTTTGGCACACCAAGAAATGAGGTTATGCGCAAAAGAAATACAAAATCATGTAATAGACCAACTAGTGAAGGACATCCCGCCTAATCTATGTCACTTCAAACTATCAAAGAGAAAGGATCAAAATGGTAAAGTTTTATACCAAAATAAGAAGTACTTTTGACATAACATAACATCCATTTAATAGGTTGTTAGTGAACATCTCTAGGAGTATGCATGAATTGATAAATTGTATCAACAACATAGGCGATATCAAGATGAGTGAATATGAGATACCGAAGGCCACCAACAAAACATTGAGAAATAGTTGGATCATTAAAAAGAGAACAATCTGTGAAAGAAAAAGGACTCCATGAAGGAGTCGTTATGAAGACTAGTTTGACTTTAGTCATAGAAGCTCCATATAACCTCAATCCCTAAGAAATAATGAAAGGCCCCGAGATCAATCATTGCAAATTATGATTTGAGAAGAAAAAACAAGTGATCTAGCAAGGAGGAGGAAGAGACTATAAGTATAATGTAATCTACATAAAAAGGTAAAATTGTCTTATCGGTCGTAATATGATAAAGAAACATGGAATAATGAGCAAAAAAAAAAAAAAAAAGTAAAATCGTAAGAATAGAGAAAAAGTATTGAAACAAATGAACCATGATAACAGGATTTGCTTGAGACCATAGATGGATCAATTAAGATGATAAAGATGATATGTATGATTAGGATGAACAAATCCAAGTAGTTGGCACATATAAATAGCCTAATCAAAATAACCATAGAGGAAGTCGTTTTTATATTTCTTGTATTCTTTTGCACCGACTTCAACTAAGAAGACTTTGTAACAAAAGAGTAAAAAGAATAGTTGAAAAGCATTCCGTAATGTAGCCTATCTTTCAAACTAATAGATAGATGAATCAAATTGACTTTGCTAAATATGCTACTACTAATTATAATGGTGTTTTTTTTTCTTTTTTTGGTATTTTTCCTTAGAAACAAACTAAATTAAACAAGTTGTAATTAGTTTGAGAATCTTTAGTAGAGTTCATGACCTACCCAAGCCGATTAAGTCGCAAGATTTTAAGAATAATTATTCATAGCATCGGTTAATCTAAACTAAGAATTCAAATTCATGTACTAATATGCAATTAAAATAACAAATCGAACTAAAAAAAGAAAGATTAAATGATTAAAACACTAAGAAAAGAAGAGTTGTAATGTCAATAGTAACCCATAAATTACATATTTAAAACCATCAATAGTACATAAAGAACAATATTACAATCTTTATAATGCTTCAATCTAAAAAAAGAACTTACGTTATCGAAGAATGATGATTAGTCATAAATTGACTCTCTATGCATAATGCATCTTGAAGGAATTAGGAATCATGATTGTTACAAACATGAGATAAGTGGCCTAGAACCAACTATCGACCAACAAGTTATTAGCCTACTTAATTACCGCCTACAAATTGCTTATAAATTACTACCGATTAGCTACATTGTAATAAGTTTCAAGGGTGTTTTCTCTTTCTCTTGTAGTTGATATTTATAGGCAACTCGATATAAGAAAATTATACAAATTAAGAAAATTAAAATATAAAAAATTATTGCAAAATCATAGTGTGAAGAAACCACTAACATAAACAAAATTAAAAACACACAAAATGACTTGATTAAAGCGCAAATTGAGTTACGAATCACACTAGTGTTAATGATGAAGAGTGTCAGCAAAAGCGATGAGAAGAAAATTAAAGTGACAAGAAGAGAAGAAGAAATGAAAGGATGTCCGATGAGAGGGAAAAGAAAAAATTTGAGTGGATGTTTCACCGACAAATAAACGAAGAAGAAGAAGAAGAAAGGATCAGTGTGGGATCAAAGTTTCTTCGATCGATCGACAATAATCAAAGAGAGAAAAATATTAGGATTAGTTAAGTAGATTTTTATATGATTAAGAGATTTTGGGGTTTTTATATGGGGGACATGGATAGTTCTTAGGGGATTATAGGTTTTTTACCATAGGAGCATTTTGAGGTTTTTATTTTTTTTCATTTCGGAAATTCATTTGCTTCTTTTCAAATATCAAACATAAAAGAAAAAAAATATCACACGCCAGACATCCCGTGAGTTTTTGGTTGGGATTTGATGTCGTTAACTCGGAAATTAAGACGCAAAGTTAATGTTGAGAGATGTAATTAATGAAAAACTTCATTAAGGGACACGATTAAGATAAACAAAATAGTAAAAATACATACCGAACTATTAATCCATTTTTAATTGCATCCTAAACCTATATATTTTATCAATTGAATCTTAATGTTTTCTCTTATTTTTCAAATTGGGTTATTTCTTCTATTGTTGTTAGTATTTTATGTTTGATGTGTATATTTATGCCCTAAAATGACTTTTTAGAGAAGAAAAATTGATAGAAAATCTAAACATGAGGACCCAATTGATTTTAAGTATACAGGTTAAAATCTAAAATCTAAATTGAGTTTCCCTACTATAAATATGTCCCACTAAAGAAATTAAATACAAAATTATTGAACAACATTAATTAAATTAATATATACTTAAATTAGTTCTTAAACATAGCTTAGAAGACTAATTGAGTTGTCTCAATTCAAGCTCGGTTTGTTGCGCCGAATCCACTGCCAATTAGGAAAACAGGAGGACGGTGCTTTTGTCAGTGGTTGAGCTGTACATCAAAATCGAATTCAACAAATCTACACCGTAAGTTAGGGAACAACAGAACTCCGCGAAACACACAATATAAGCCACGAAACAAAGCTTTTTCGCAGATTCCGCGTTTCTTTTTCACTTTAGGACTCTCTCCGTCTCAGCTTTTGACACACCTGTCTTTCTGCTTTCTGACAACACACACAGACACACACAGTGTCACCGAGGCAAGCTAGGGAGCTACTTCTTGTAAGAGAATTGAAGAGACCAGAGACAGAAAAACCAAGCAACATTGTGCAAGACAGAGATGGGATCTGGGGCTGGAAGCTTTTTGAAGGTTATTCTTAAGAACTTTGACGTTCTTGCTGGGTATGCTTTCCTTCTTCTTCTTGTGTCTATTTGTTTCAAGATTTCTTAAAACTAAAAACATCAAAAGATTCAATTTTTATTATACTAGTACTTTTCCTCTTGCTTTGATGTGTTTTGGGAGTACTATTTTGCTACTGAGATTGTGGAACCCCTCAAAGTAGGGCTGTCCATATACATGAGAAAGTTGTTTGAAGATAAAGCAAACTCATTGACTTTTTGATTTTCTATATACTTAGTGTGCTTTTTTATTTATTATTATTATTTTTAAAATCTAACTTCTAATTTGAATAATTTCCAGGCCTGTGGTTAGTCTAGTTTATCCTCTGTAAGTCCCCCTCTTTTTCCTCTTTCCCGGTTTTTTTTTCCTTCTTTTCTTTGCTTGCCATAGTTCTTTTTTGCGTGTAGATTGTTATTATAGCCACTTAATTTGGGTTGTATTTGGACAGATATGCCTCAATTAGGGCAATTGAGACTAAATCTCATGTTGATGATAAGCAATGGCTTACCTACTGGATTCTTTATTCCATGATCACTCTCTTTGAGCTCACCTTTGCTAAAGTCATTGAGTGGTAAGATCTCTTCTCTTCAGAAATATTAGCATAGTTAACCTCTTAAAATATTCTATATTGTTTTATCTGTTCTGTTGGTATCATTAATAGTAATTTCGTAATGGGAATTAGTGAATTGTATTGCCCATGATGGCAAATTTGCTGAATAGTATTCTTTTGGAACTTTTTTCACTATTTCTGGATTTTCCGAAGCTGACCAACTCACGAAGAACTGGCTGTTGAGAGAATTGAGTCATCTTGCCTTTTGTTCTATCCAAAATAATTGGTTACAAGTTTATTGTGCCGAATAATAGCTTTCCTGAAGGGGGAGCACATGTTTCATTGTGACAGTATAGTTTGGTGCAAAGTTGGTGTACTTTTTAATGGGAATAAAGTATAACAAAAAGTTAATTAGCTTGGAAGATTAGTTTTAATTAGTTTCAGGGATAATTTCTCCGTAGGGTGAAACCCCTTGTTAAGTTTTTACTGTTATTTTAACAATGCACTCTTGCAAAGGTATTTAGCTGTTGCCAGAATTTGCTAAACCTGTGAATGTAATGTGCAGGATACCAATCTGGCCATATGCGAAGCTCATTTTGACCTGCTGGTTGGTCATTCCATACTTCAGTGGTGCTGCATACGTTTATGAGAACTTTGTGAGACCTTTCTTTGCCAACCCACAGCATACCATTAATATCTGGTATGTTCCAAGAAAGAAGGATGCCTTCAGCAAACCAGATGACGTTCTAACTGCTGCAGAGAAATACATTGAAGAGAATGGGACTTATGCTTTTGAGAAGCTCATTACCAAGGTAGGTGATGAGCCATGAACAATTGTTTTAAACTGATTCTGAGAGCTATAATGACTCTATGAGTGACTGCTAATGACATACAATGCTTGTTTGAGTGGAAAGGACTGATGGATAAGTAGAGAGGATGAAAGAGGCGCCCATTACATCATTTCCTCTTTGCCTGAACCATCTCTAGTTCTGTTCTACTAATGAAAAAAAAAAAAAAAAAGAGTAATGCTAAGCATTAAAATACCATTGGATTGGAGGGACCCACCATTGAATCCCACATTAAGATCATGATCCAATGGCACATAATCTTCTAGAAATTATTTGTTGCCATTTTTTTCTTCATTTTTGTTGACAAAAATAGTGTAAGTGATGAATTAGGAAGTGTCCTTAGTCGTGATTGCAGTTGATTAAATGGTTCGCCAGTATCATGTAGCATTAAACATCTCCCGTTGCAACTGTAATAACATAATGGCTCAATGCATATCTTCTGGTTCTGCAGGATAAGTCCAGGAGGAGTAGTGGCTATACAATGTTTGATGGGGACGACTGATAATGAGGAGAGCTTCCAGCTTTTCCTGCTACCTTGTTCCTTGTTGGGGAGGACTTACTAGAGTTCCCTTTTGGTTACATGTTGCTACTTAATAGAGTTCTTTGTTGTCATCGAACCTAGAGGTTCTGTCTGTCTAATGTGGCCTTTGTTCTTTCGAAGGATAGAGGATGTTGTAAGGTTATTGTATTTAACTATCATGGCTGCTTGCTTTATTTTCATGCTTTTATTTATGAGCTTGAATTTCTCAGGGAAGATGAAGAAATATACGCCAAGGACTGCCAGATCCTTGTAATGTGTTAATTTTTGTATTCATCATTTCTTCTCGTTAGCCAATAATTTAATGCTGAAATTGTTTTCCTCCACTGAGATCTTCGGTTTGGAAGTTGGCACAACAAATTTTGGGTTGCTATTAGTTTTTCAGGCATCGCGGACTATCATGCGAGCTGCGTTGAATAATTTCAGCATCTCAAGGCTCTATTCCTTAGTCATCTAGATTCTTTTCCACAACTGGGAGACCCACAGCTAGAGGAATTTGCAATATTTCGAGTATGCCAGAAATCTGAAGTACCAAAGCGGGTTCTGAAGTAATTGCAAAATGAGAATTACTGTCACTGGGGAAGCCAAGACCGGGGCTGCTTATTTGTCCCACTCCCAAAATTGTTGGAGAATCAAATCTTCTCCTATTTGGCCTAGTTAAGAGCTATCAAAGTTCTTGAACTCTCTTCATCAAAAGCCTTTCTAATTGGTCTAGAATGACTCCAGCTGGTTATGCGGCAATGCTCCGCACCTTGGTGGGATGAGAAGAATTTCTCATTACGTAACGGCCGTTATATAATGAAATCAGAATATTTTGTTATTATTATTTAGCATTATGTGTGTTTTGTTATTTGACATTATATAATGGTATTATATTAAAAAAAAAAAAACAAACAAAACTGTTTTGGGGAGTAAATTATACATTAGTTCTCCTTGTTTTGAGAAATAAATTATTTAGTTCGTTTTGTATTTAAAAACTAATCATTTAATCCTTTTAATTAGTATTGATTATGATTAATTTAATATTTTTTTATTTTATAATTTTTTTAATCACTCTTTTTGTATTTTTATTGACATTTTATTCCTTTCCTATTTTTAAAAAGAAAAAAGAAAAAGAAAATAAAAATAGCAAAAAATGACTAAATTAGTTTTTGAAATAAAATAGAAACTAATTAATTCGTTTCACAGAGGAAGAGGGATTAATTTATAATTTACTTGTGTTTTTAAGAAAGAAGAAGAGAGCATGGGAAGAATTGTTTTTAGAAAAGAAGAGACGGGGAGGAGTCAGCACAAAAGAATTCCAGGTTTAAGCAAGACATTTGAGCCTTGTACTTAAACTTAGAAGACCAATATTTTGTGTCATGTTACATAATTGGGTCTATAACTAATAATAATAATAATAATAAACAATTGATATAGTTCTTATTAGACCTACTTTGTTTTTTTAGTTGATAATTAGGCCTAGTATTAGAATTATAATTTTACCTTTTTTACTTTGTATAAGTTTTAAAAAATAATAATGTGTTTGCTTTTTTTTTTTTATTGCACAAAATTATTGTAAATCAAATTTTCTTCCACTCTAACAAACAATGACTAAATTATAATTTTATTAAAATAAATTTTGAATAATAATTTAAAAGTTAGGTTAAGTTAAAATTTAATTTTTAATAGGGTAATAATTATTGAATTATAATGGTGCATATATATATATATATATATATATAATGTTATTATTATGTCTATTTAATTAAAAAAAAAAATCAAATTGACATGCTAATATGAAAATTTATCACAGTTGTGAAATGATTCATAACTTCCATACTTACGACCGTTATATTTTAAATGTTAAATTTTAAATCCATTATCACAATCCGTAACCATTATTTAAAACTATGTTTCTCGTCCATTAAAATGCTTCGAGCTAGAGTCTGAAGAAGCTGCACTTACAATTATCTTAACTAGTGAAGAAAGTTAGCAGCTGATGGAAGGGACCTGACAATTTACAGTGTAAAGCTAGTTTAGTACTCTCAACCAAAGTGAGATCTTTCGAGCTAGAGTCTGAAGAAGCTGCACTTACAATTCTTATAGAGTTTCATAGGAGGAAATCTCTTGAAAAAGACCAACTGTGGCACTTGTTTCCAGTTTACTATAACATGCAGATTGCAACCTCTAGCTCCGGCTATTGTAATGGCTGTCAAAATCCCTCTCGTTGCAGGCTGAACTTTCATATTATTTCCTGAGATCTTTATAAACAAACATATCCGTTTTACCAAGAAGGTGCAATGCTTTCTAGTGAAAGGGTAAAGACGATTGTGTCGCAGGTACAATGGTCGCAAAAGTTCATGCTCCTGGCTTAAGGAAGTTAGTAGGATTGGATCTGGCTGGCTTTCTTTTTGAACTTCTGTTTGAATCTCACTTTCTTGCAAAGTACCTGTGTCTTCCTCAAAACCATTACTTCCTCGCCAATTTCGGTTAAAGGCTAGAATAAAAATTACAGAATTGTTTATGATTCTGGTCTCTTAGTAAGCTATGGTGGCCAAGGCACCTGACGTTGATGGATGGAAACAGCTCTCCAAGAACTTTTAGTACAGGAAAATGACAGGTGCAAATCATGTCAATTTATTACTGGCTCCTGCAGCATCTTATATTTAAATTTTCGACCAGTCAAAGCCTTCACCTCTGTGATGTGAGCATACATGATCTAGTCCTATCCTTTTCCTTCAGATTATTATTATCCACCAAGTCTGCTGTATATATCTGAGGTGTTCTATTTCCCTCATCTTCTGTAGGGATGATGGCATAGAAGAAGCTAAGATAAGGAAATCAGTCAACTAGTTTAGGACAAAACCTACAAACACGGTGCAGAAGGAAGCGGCAATAGAAGCTGCCCTTCAACTTTGATAGGTTAGTCACTGCTTAAATTCACAAAAACCCAGGAACATGTAATAAACCTACAAACACGGTGCAGAAGAGGGGCAAGAACAGGTTTCCTTTAACTTTGATAGATTAGTCACCAATTAAATTCACAAAAACCCAGGAACATGTAATAAACAGAAAACACTACACTTATTTACCTTTCACAGTATTAAGAGTTTATTGCACAGTGAAAAACCACCAGTATCTCAGGATAGACACAGGCATGCTTTTAATAACAATGCCCTGAAAGCCTTGCCTTTTGCAGGCAAGATTCCATTGCTGGTCAAAACTCAAGCCTCACTTTCAACTTCAGTTTCACCAGTATCGATAGCTACCGATAAATATTCCTGAGCTTCTTCAAGTGCAGATTCCTTGGCATCAGCAGCATACAGTATCTTTTTTATTGCAACTCCCATCTGCATGGCATTTAAACAATGGCATGACTAAAAGCATAATCCCCTGCTCCACACTTAAGAAACTAAACATGTCTTGATCTATATATTAGCATCCAGAAACTCTTACCGGTAGATCCTCCAATTCAGGAATCTGACATAGTATTTCTATATCACGCAACTTTGCAAAGTAAAAATCTCTTTCTTTTTCCAAAAGGTCCACTGAGAGCTTGAGATCTGTAATCTGTATGCACATCAGAAACTTTAGTACTCATTGCATGATATCTTTCACATTCCAGGGCCTTGACAGAAAAGGGGAAACCCCAATTTAACGTATTGCCTCATTATCAGTTGAGTCAACAACCTTTTGATTTTATCAATTTTTTCCCAAACATAGTCGACTTTAAACAATGTCACACCAGCATCCATCTGCTGCTGGTGTCAGTTACAATATATCATCCAATCTGCACATGCTCATTAAGTGTTTCCATCCAAAGAGTCAAAATAAACTCCCATGTTCCCTAAAGTATAAAGTATAATTTTACCACCAAAATATAGTAAATTTCTCTTTTATACAAGCTGGCAAAAAGGACAGAAAAATTGTTTACTATTATTTGATGTTAGGATTGTCTTTTAGAGAAAATTGGAGCTTAGTTTGTGCCTTAGATTGAAACACTTCAGAGCTCAAGCAAATTGGATGGAATCCTTCACAATGATTAAAAGTGGATAAATAGAGGGGTGACTTTGTCCAATGATTTGGGAAAAAATTGATAAAATCAAAAGGTTTAGGACTCAATTGACAATACGGCAATAAGGTAGGGTTACATTGAGGTTTCCCCTTATGAGAACTAAGGCTACAAAGTGGGGCTAGAGAAAGCATGCGGGCTATAGAAAAGTTTCAATCTCCACCATCAGTGTAAAATAATTGGTCATCCCCCCACCAAATTGACAGTCTAAACTGTAAAGTGCGTGAGAACAATCTGCATAAGTCATAGACACTAAATGCAGGGGAATTTGACTTGCTACTGTTTCAAATACAAGCAGAAAAAGGAAATAAATCCAATACCTCCCTGGATAAAGCTTGAATTTCCTCTGAAGAATTTGCCCCTCCTGCCACAGCACTTCCCCTCCCTTGCTTTTGCCCTATAGCAATAAACAACAAACAAAGGACTTAAGAAAAATAAAGGCAAAATCAAAATGTGAGGCATGGATATGGAAGATATCACATGGTGCATACTTACCTGATATTTTGTTCAAGTCAACTGTGTCACCAGAGGCAGAGTTATGCATGTAGTTTGCTTGCAGTGATTTTGTGGTCTTCTGAGAACCCCTAGAGTTACGGTCCCTCCCACCCTTACTTCTTCGTTCCAATGGGTTATAATTCCTTTTAGAAACAAAAATGTGCAACAAAAAGTACTTACAGATTAAAGCAAAGAAAAAACAACAATTTCAAGAGAGTTAAAAATAATGGAAGGATGATGTATGTAAAAGTGATATACTCATTCATGATGCCACCATTTACAGAGTCACAGTATCGTTTGAGCCACTGTAAGAATTCCAAGTTGTCCAATGGCCTTCCTTTAACAAGCCTGTTAACTTCAACATGCTGCCATATAGACCGAAAGAGAAGGGATGTCAACAAAAATATATTGTCTCAGTTCTATTATTAAGGGAGGAAAAAAAAAAAAAAACTGTAAACTGTCTACTCACTCATGTTTGAACTTAGAAGAATATCAACATTGTAACTAAAAACAAACACCATCAACTAAGATGTTAGCACAAACAACATTCTCAATCTTATCTCTATATGTATTGTTAATACAACATGGAATAACGTCACCATCCGCTGAAACACTAATAGCAACCACCCCCACCCCCTTTCCCTTTTTTTCCCCCCTCCAACAACTTTGCTGACTTAAACCAAGATCACCATCTTCAGTTTACTGGGCCTAAGATTGATCAGACTGACACAAACCTGACTCAGAAATTCCAAGAATCTCCGTTCAACTCTGCCTTTGGACAGGCTGTTCAATAATGCCAACTCATATAGTTGATCCAACCAAGAAAGCTATGGTCCATGCAAGAATGAGAAAATGTAGAAACACAAGACTGGAGTGCTGCAAATTATATATCAAAACTGCATCATATGATGGGAATTACGTTCTCTTATTTGACTCAGTGGAAGCTTCCTGATGTGAATCAAAGTAAAAGCCCAAGCCTTATATGCATATGGTGATTCAGTAATATTAAAAGAAACGGAACTGAGCATCAAAAGGTTATATGCACATAAAGCAAAGCACAGAATTTATCTTAGACGTGAAAGTTGAAATCAGTACCTTCTCAATTTTCAACTTGTTGAATACATCTTGCAGAACCTTGTAATTTTGGATCATATCATATTCTGTCTTTGCATCAAAATTCACCTACAACAAATGAAACTGAAATCTAGAGGAAGGCATTCTACAATTGCAATACTTAACCAAATGACAAGGCAAATATTAAAAAATAAAGATGTCCGAGGGAGCATTCTGTCACCTTGTGCATCGGTACTATTCCTGGATAAGTCATGTCCATCATCTGACACTGCACAGCACCAGAAGCTGCCTAGACACAGTAATTGACATGAAAAACATCAGAAAATAAGGGATTAAAAAGCATGAAGTGAAATATATCTCATTCGAAGAGCATATTTTGGCCCTAAAGCCATATCCAAAGAAAATCAAATCAAATAAAAAACTGAACGTAAAAACACTAAAGCAATCCACTGTACATGTGAAAATTAGCAATCCTGCAGACAAATCTGATTGCAGAACTGGTTCTAAAAATTCTCAAGGCCAAGTCAAACACAGAATTTGATAATTTAAATCAGAGCATCCCATTTTGGTTTATTTTCCCTGACAGAAAATTATCTCCAAAAAAAAAAAAAAAACTCGAAACGCTTTGGAACAAAAACCATTTCGTGAACATGCTCAAAATAAATAAAACAAGAACAATAATCACAGAAAGCCAACATTCCCTCAAACTGAGACAAATAAATAAATGCAAAAACATATAAGCAAAACCATAGAGAAATAACTTTTTTCAAAAAAAAAAAAAAAAAAAAACCTCTTCAATACGAGAGAGATTGAGCTGAAGCCTATTATTGATCCATGTTAATATCTCATTCCTTCCGACAAAATACGCACTGTCCATCATCCCTATATTCGACGCCATTGCTCTCTTTTTTCTTTACTAACGGAGGAGAAATGGATTTTCCTTTGAAGAGAATATGTGGAAAGTTGTGGTTTTGGATTTTGATTGGAGACTAGAGCGTTAAATTAGGGGATTAACGTTATTTTTGTTTGTTTATTTAAATATTTGAATTAAAAAAAAAAAAAAAGTGGGTAGAAACTGAAACTCAAGAAAATGATTGGTGAAAAGGAAAGAGAGAGAAGCTGATGTTTATTTAGCAGATAGAGACAGACAAGTGAAAAAGAAATTCCAAATTTTGTTTATTTGGCAGGCACCGACCCTTTGTTTTATGCACTTGGGTGGTGTGGGATTTTTTTTTTTTTTTTTTCTCATTCGATAATGAGAAGTATTCTCTTATGTGTCTATGGAATTTTTTTTTTTCTGAATCATTTTAAGAATACATTTTTTTTTATAGTATTTTGATGCATGTAGAAGAAATAAATTTCTCTAAATATTTTTCATAAAGTTCAAATTTTAAAAACTCAAGAGAAACAATACATCTTATTAACTACCAACTCAACTTTTCACTATCACATATGAAGTCTTACGTAGAGGTTGAAAACCGCTGCAAAATAAAACAAAATCGCTGCATTATTTCTAATACAACAGTTTATTAGCTACTACACCGGACTAACGCTACAATAAAATAATGCAATGGTTTTTGTATACAATAGCAACGAAACACATTTCGTTGCATAATATTCGTCAATTGCTGCGATTATCTTGTCATTTTAGGCGAGTGGTTTAGAGAATGATATAGCAACGGTTTTAGTCAAAAAGTTCGTAACGGTTTTTATAATATATGCAATGATTATTAGCATGTTTTATGCAGCAGTTTAAATCATCTAATGCAATGGTTTATATAATATATTATGTAGCGGTTTATAGTCATTGGCAATGGTTTTTCCGTTGTATTATATAGTGGTTTGGTTGTTTTAATGCAACGATTTTCTATATAAACTAACCTTTTTTATTTGTAAAGCAACGATTTTTAAAAATATTTAATATAATAATGTGTAATATTATTGTAATTCGATTTTTTTTCCCAATTGCAATAGATTTTTAATCAAATGCAATGATTATGATGTATTTATAGTAATTTAAAAAAAATTCTAAATATTAATTAATAACGAGAAAAGTAATAATCTAAGCACTTTCTTAACATAATTGTAAAATTAAGTAACCTATTGAAAGAAAAATAATACTCCAAATATCTAAAAAATTTAAAAACACAATGAAATATCAATATTTGAAAAAAAAAATTCAAAGTTCCTACTAGACAAATTTAATGGTTGATTTCCAAATTTAAGTAGTTGATAACACTAGGCAACCCGTAATTTTAGGGGAAAAAAGATTTATTAGCAATGAAATACAAGTAATTGCAATAATTGAACTTGTGTTTTTTATTAAATAATGGATATAAAAATTAGTAAGTACCTAAAGATTATGATTGGCGTTCGATGAATGTAAATTCCTTGTTTGATTCCCTATATTTGGTGCACTATTAGCATCTCCCGGTGATCGTGTAGTTACGACCAGCGTCTTGAACATCTCAAGGTTCACATTTAGGCTTAGGTTTAAACCTCGAGCTATGTTAGACCGATAGCATTATTTTTTGATGCAAACTAGCTTTCTACTCTTCTAGCTTTCCTTCCACTTTTATTTTCATTTCTTGTGTAATTTCTTGTCGCACCTTTTTTTTTTCTACATCTATTTTTGATGGCATTTAATAAATCTTCAAGAACTTTAATCGATGATTGACCAAGGTCTACCTTGTCTTTCAAATCGGATGATGTGATAGCCCTCCCATATAACATAACACGTCTAGGTCGCACCCTGACTTCCATCACCATAGAAAATGCATCAATAGATTCACCACCTTCACTTGAATAGTGAGACTCCGCTTCTCACATTTGAGCTTACAATGGAATCATAAGTTCCTTAAAATGTAGTTCATACATTACATGATAAAGTAATTAAAAAATCTTTTTATAAATTGTAAATATAAGGAAATAAAGTATTGAAAGTTCTTACAATCTTGGTAATCGTATCATCATTTAATTCCTTATAAGAATGCCTAACTTTTCTTTTTCAAGTTTCAATAGACATTTCGAATGAGTTAGTTCTTTCTTATTTTTCTTTGCATTTCGTCGCTTATCAAGAAACAAATTTTAGCCATAATAAATTGAATGAAGTGAAGATATTACTTGTACGGACATAAAGTGGGTGATGCAAAGACATGAAGTCGAAAAATTGTCGCTTTTGACAATGAGACGATAATATGAATACACAATTAGAGGAAAATCTTTGTATACACCATCACATCACATTTCTTTATGGCCTCTCGTGTTCCACCTCTACATTATTATTATTTTAGTTTAATCAAATGCAACATAGAAAAATTACTTATATTATTATTTTGAGTCATCCCTAGAAGATGTGCCGACAAATCAAGCAAATCATGTGAACAGAAAAGCATCCTAAGTTTCACTAAAAAGGAAAGATCGTATCCTACACCTATATATGTGTTATCTTACAAGTTACAACACACAAGCTTGTCAATTTGGCCTTTAGATAATGCAAAACGGAGGGTTAACAAAAAACTATAAATCCACATAAACTTATCACATTTTTAAGCATGAAGGAGGAGTTAATGATTTAGTTTTATGCTATGCACATTGTGGGATGGTTGCAGCTGCGCAATGGATTTCAAAACTTATAACGCCTTATCTTAAACGTACTCTTGAGCAATTCCCTAATTATAAGCTTAAGGTAAATGTAATTTAGAAACTATTTTTGTTCCTTACTATTTTTTCAAGTTGTTATGTGGCCATGTCTTAAAGCTAGAATTAATTCTATTTCTATCTCGAGAAAAAGAAAAAAATCACCGATAGGAATAATATAGAATCGAACTTGAGTGAGCATCTTATACCCCTATGTTTTGGTTGTTTTTTTTTTTTTTAACATTAAGTTTTATAGTGCAACTAATATTAGCTTTAAAAATTATATTCGAGTTTATAATGTCTTCTGGAGCCTATTTGGTGCAATAAATGTTTAACTATAAATTAGTTATTTCTTACCCTAAACTTTCTCCACATCCTTTTTTTTTTTTTTTTTTTGTGAAGCCAAGAAATTTTTAGACAAGAAAATGAAAGCACATAGCACTAAGTTCTTGCTACCTTTCATCACCCAAGTACCTAGCTTGTCTTACCCTCTTCGTCGCTTAAATCGTTTCGACTAAATTTCTAGATCACATTCAACTACAACACATCATATCCTAATCAATTTATAGTTTTCTCGTGGATTTTTAGTCAACAAATTGGCCTTTAAATAGTACAAAATAGAAGATTAATAGGAATGCAATCTCAAGATGTTACATTTCATATGTCTTTTCATGCTAAAGATATACTTTTATTACCGAGAAACAAAGACTACATCGGAAAATGCAACATCGTTCAACTAAGGTGGAACATCCTCCATAACGATAAAGTATCAATCTTACCTTACCGAGCCAAGTTATATGTCAAATTTAATTATTAAATGTCCTAGGAACATGATTAAAAGTAGAATAAACAAAAGAAGTGCTAGTGACCTTAATGTGTTCTCTAATCATGTCTTCTTTAATAAGGTAAAAAAAGAAAAGCATAGGGACAATATGCTCAAAAAGTTAGAATTATGTAAATATTTAGACTTAATAATTTGAATATATAGTTTATGAGGTTCATATAATAAACTCCAACCCATCTTTCCAATCATAGGCGTATTACAATCTTGATCTTACTTGATGCCTAACTTGTAATAGTATCCTAGTTGACAAGTTGCACCCACACCTACCATCTATAGTCCCTCATAGAAACCGTCTAGCTAATTTATCGATTTCATCACAAACTATTCTAGGTAACAAGATGACTCGCATAACATAAAGAAGAATAATGTTGATAGTATTTTATAGTAAAATGGCTCTTTACATTTTATTTAGAATGTTTCCTTTCTAGCCAAACAATCGATTTTTAACCTTATCAATGATATGAAGCGACCTTTCTAACTCTCAAAGTACAAAGAGGGACGCCAAGAATAATGTTGATAGTATTTTATAGTAAAATGGCTCTTTACATTTTATTTAGAATGTTTCCTTTCTAGCCAAATAATCGATTTTTAACCTTATCAATGATACTAAGCGACCTTTCTAACTCTCGGAGTACAAAGAGGGACTCCAAGATACTTACTCATATCATGAGAAAACTTCATATTCAAAATTTCGCTTATCCATCGTATTAAAATTTTCAATTGTGCATATTAAAAAAAATGATGGTAAATTTAGTAAGAAATTTAACAAGAACATTTAGATTTATAAAGCAAAGTAATGTTTCTTACCAATTTCTTTCTTATCCTAGCGAGACCCTTTTTACCCATTGTGTACATATTCTTTTGCCATTTATGTTTTTCAAAATTTATCTCTATCATCATCTATAGAATAATTTCAATTAATAGCATTAACATAAACTTTGATGATAACAAAATATAAAGTAGTAGTGAAAAAATGTAAAAAGTCTTATACTTTGGCATTATCTAAATTTAAATGCTTTAGCAATTCTCTAGACTTATCATCCGGAATGTGTTTTGGATGATTTAACATTCTAAGTTTGTAAGTTTTGTACTTGCAATAGTAATCCTTCATTAATCAGCATTTGTACAACCTCTAATTATCTCTTATTATGGCAAAAACTAATTTCTTGCCTTCGAAAGAAACTATGTATTTTTTTTACATTAAAAAATATGGTTGGCATTAAAATATGAGGATGGATTAACATCTAATGTCAAATAAATTTACAAGTATTAGGAAGAAAAATTATGCCAATATAAAGAGAGAAATAAAAAAAGATAAAGCTCGAGTTACTTATTAGAACATATTCCCATAATGCTTCTTTAAGTAGGCATCTTGCGCCAATTAACGTGATTCAATAGTGCAAGACTCCCATTTT